GCTCCGCCCGGCTGCTGCCGCTGCCCCTGCCCCTGCCCCGACCCCGCCGGGCTGCCTCCGCCTCGCGGGTCGCTTCATCCCGGGGAGGATGAGAGAGAGACAGAATGTGTGTGTGTGTACCTGATCCCAGGCTACATGTGCGCTGGGCGGGATGAGCCTGAGCCTGGCTTCAGCTGCTGCTGCTTCGTGCCCTGGAAATGCCACAGCTTTGTGTAGGGCAAACTTTCCTTCTGTCTCTCTCTTTTTTAAATAATATTTTGGTCTAGCCCCGTCCCCTCCGGCAGGTCAGCACACTGCCGAACTGCCCAGCCGGGGGAGGGATGGGAGGCTGCGTCCATTGTGGTGAGTGAATGCTCTGTTAACAGGTGCCCCAGCCTGCCTTCCTCTCCTGTGTGTGTGTGTGTGTGTGAGCTGTGTGTGTGTTGTGGGGGGGTTGATTCCCCAAGGCTCAGTGTGTGCATGCGCATGTGTGAATGTATGTTTGTGTGTTTGGGGGGTGCAGTGTGATTTCCCTGGGCTCAGAGTGTGTGTGTGTGTGTGTGTGTGCATGTATGTGTGCATGTGTCTGTGTGATTCTCCAGGGCACAGCATCATTCAGGAGACAGCAGCTCCTGGAGAAGGTCCTGGGACATTTCCCTCACTAGTGTCAAGCCTGGTTGGAAGCTGCCTCCCCACAATGGATTCCAGAGAGCCTCACTAGTAGTAGCTAGACAGATCTTACATCTCAGTGATTGAAACGGCTTCATTGCCTCTCCTAGGAAGACTGGCAGCTGTTAGAAAAGGTTTTAATGAGGCACCAATAGCACTTCTAATTTTTAAAACCCTTGGTAGGGGTGGCTGCAGCCCAGATGTTTCCTTAGACACCCATTCCTCCTTCTCAGCATCACAAGGGAAAGGGAGAGGAGAGGCACCCCTAAGCTTTTGCTCTACATATGGGTGGAGAAAGAAGTGATCACCAATATAGTTAATTTGTTAAAGGGACACTGTCATTTTTAAGTGACTTATATGTAGCTCCTGGCCTTACCTTGGCTCCTGTTTCCCACCTGCCAATTTGGGAGTTTTACAGTGACATCTTTCTACTTTTACTCCATGTTGTGTTCCCCCTGCTGCTGTGTGAAGGACCACTTAAAATCACAGGGGAAACTCATTCTATAGGAGAAAGAAGCAAACAGAAAGAAATGCTGTCAAATCCAGAAAAGCAGACCTTCCCTCTCCCCTCCCTCTCCAAATCCTTTCAAGTATAATAGGGGTTTCTTATAACAATAGTAATTAAACACTTTTGCACAGAAGTCTGCTTTTTTGACAGTGTTTCTTTAAGAGAGCCTGTGGCTCTGAGTGAGGAGATAGAAAACATCATCTCATCTTAGAGCTGAATCCTTCCTTCTTACAGGAAAAAAACCCGTCTCATTTCCTTCAAAGGAAATTTTATTTCAGAAAAGAGAAGATCTGGAAAAGACCAGTTAAATCAGCTAATCCACCCCCCATTCTTCACCCTCACCAGAACTGAATCGGTTCCTATAGCACATTGCAGCCTCTTCATTTTTAAGGCTCCTTTGCAATTAGCTAGGTCTGTTCTACTTGGGTTGTGAGAGTACTGCAGAAACGAGATGTGTGTCTGTAATGCTGGTTAACTTGTTATGTATGGCAGCGTTTGAGAAAATAGAAAATATCAAGGCCGTTGAGAGGATTGCATGTATTTTTGGACCACTTTTCTTCTGTATGAAATACTGAAAATGGGTATGTGAAGAAAGTCAAATGTATACGGATGATATTTGTGATGTTCAGAAAAATCTAATCTTTCAATAAAAACAGTTCTAGTCACAGCTGGAACAAAAGTCTTCCTGTCAGAAAAAAGAGCACTCGATTCAAAATGTTTGTCTTGTTCTCTTTCTCCAGTACTGCCTAAAGAAATTGTTTAACCATGGATGTATTCATGAAAGGGCTTTCCAAGGCTAAGGAGGGAGTCGTGGCAGCAGCAGAAAAAACCAAACAGGGTGTGGCAGAAGCAGCAGGAAAGACGAAAGAGGGCGTTCTCTATATGGGTAGGTGGGCAAGATAAAACCAACTGCTATTACTGTGTTGGCTTTTGTGTGTGGTATGAATGACTGATTGAAAGACCAGGAGCCAGACTGTTGGGAATGACCTTGGTATAAATGTGGAGTAACTCAATAACAGAGTTGCTGCACTGTAAATGAGATTTGACTTGAGCCCTGAATTTTGAAGGTAAACCTCTGTAAAGCTGGATAATGACTCTTGCTAGATCTTTTGGTGTTTCATCGCACCATCAGAGTCATCCTTTATTATGGCACAGTACCATAAGCATATAGGCTATAAGCTGGCCTGTAAGCATACAGTAGGTGGTCTGTGCACATATGGCCATGTATAATAGGAGATACGTCAAAAATTGTGCATGCTGTTCAAACTGCCTAACAATTTCAGGGCAAAGGGGCTGGTTATAAAGAGTGGCAGGCAGTTTTACAATTGAAATGCTATTGAACATGAGGATTTCAAGAATATGCTTTTTCTTTTTTCCCCCCATCTAAAATGAAAAGGAATGGAAGATGACATCAGGGCTAGAAGAGAAGCTATTGAGTTGTTTTTCATTATTTTAAATAAGTATTCCTGACATTTTTATACAAATACTGGAAACTCTCATTACCTCACTGAGCTTGACTGAGTTTCCTGTAATGGATTTTTAATACACCTCATGCCCATAGCATCTTTCTTTCGTGGATCACAAAGAAAGGCCTGAGACAACCCAGTGAAGTAGGGTACTGTGAATATTACTATCTCCATTTTACAAAGGGCAAAAATGAAACACAGAGAGGTTAATTGACTCATTCAGGTCACTCAGGAAGTCTGTACATAAATAGAATTGCAATTCAGATCATCCCAAACCCCACCCTAATGTTGTAAACACATGATCATCTTTACTTATCAGATTCCACGCATTAGAGCTGTGGTTTTCAAACTTCCTAAAGTCACAGAAACCTTTCATATCACTTCTGCTGCTGTGGAACCTCTACCCCCCACCAGCTCCGTGGGCCATAGGAACAGACGGACAGCCTGGTGACCCACCACTTCCTGGCCCGCTCTGCGATAGATTCATAGACTGTAAGGCTGGAAGGGACCTCGGAAGATCATCAGGTCCAGCCCTCTGCACCAGGCAGGAAAGACAACTGGGGTCGGGCGACCCCAGGAAGGTGACCATCCAGTCTTCTCTTGAAGATTTGCAGGGTAGGCTATTACACCACCTCTGGAAGGAGCTTATTCCACAGTCTGGACACGCTAGCTGTGACGTTTTTCCTAACGTTGAGGCTGAAACAGTCTTTCAGGAGTTTATGGCTATTACTCCTGATTTTTCCCCAAGGGTGCTCTGGTGAACAGTTGTTCACCGAACCCTTGATGTACGCCCCTGATATAGCAGTAAGCTGCTATCAAGTCCCCTCTTAGCCTTCTCTTTTTCAGGATGAAGAGCCCCAGATCCCTCAGCCTTTCCTTGTATAGCTTGCTGTGCAAGTCTCTGATAATGTGGGTGGCCCTTCTCTGGACTCTCGAGCTTTACCATGTCCTTGTTGAAGTGCAGCGCTCAGTACTAGATGCAGTACTCCAACTGCAGTCTCACCAATGCCAAGTGGAGTGGAAGAATCACTTTTCTAGTTTTGCTGGAGATCTATCAATTGATGCATGTCAGGATATTATTTGCCCTTTTACCTACAGCATTGCAGTGCTGGCTCATAGTCATACTGTGGTCTATTATTACCCCCAGGTCCCTTTCATTTGTGGTGTTAGTCAGTTCGGTGTTGCCAAGCCTGTAGGTGTGTAAGGTTTTTTTTTGTCCCCAGATGAAGCACTTTACATTTCTCAACATTGAATTTCATTTAATTCCTATCTGCCCAACTTGCTAGCCTGTCTAGGTCCACCTGTATCTGCAGCCTATCTTCAAGTGTGACATGCTTCCCCATACCTTGGTACCATCCGCAAATTTGGCCAGTGAGCTCTTCACCCCTGCATCCAAATCATTGATAAAGATGTTGAAATGCATAACCCCCAGTGTTGAAAACTGTAACCCCCAATCTCTTTGCAGAACCCCTGATGACCTCTTACGGAACCCCAGGGCTCTGTAGAAGACAGTTTGAAAACCTCTGCATTAGAAGACTTTTTATTTTTAAATAAAAGACGATTGCTTCTGTTTCTGCTTGCCACTTAGTTAAATTAGATAATGCAAGAATAGAAGTAGAATAGATCTTTCCAGTATGTCTTTTTTGTTTTGAAGGCTTTAGAGGTAAATACTGGTATGGCTACTGTATGTTTTTAGGGAAACATGCCAACATTTCAAAGAGGAGGTGAATATCATTGAAAACATTTATTTGATCGGGGAGTACTGGCATCTCCTTGCAATCCTGTTTTATTCATCTTCTAAATCCCAATGCCTTTAGCCAGTTAATTTTAGTCTGTAACAAATTATTTCTACTCCAAATAGAAGGGACTACTCATTTTAGCCCTTCTGGGATATGTCTTCCTGTTAAACCATAGCAAATTCCATTCACTTAGTAGACTGGAAGCAGACATTTTGAATATTATATTTAAAAAGGAATATGTGTTTTCATATACCTATGCACATTTTCAATATTATCAAAATACATTTCAGTATTTCATCAGACATTATATTTTAGAGGGGAATTTCACAAAAGAAATTACTATGCATAATATATTTTCCTTATCCAAAGAAGGGAGGTACTGGTCAAGTATTCAAACCCAGTAATGCTGGTAGGTTATAATATGCACGGGTGCTCATGTGTTTCTAGGTGTGTCTTTCCTGTGAAGACCATATGGTGAAATTCCAGTTAAAAACATTCAGCTAATTTCAGCTGTCCCATTATGTCTTAGAGCAATGTATCCAGTAGTTCACTGATTCCTAAGGTTATTGATTTTTCCAGTTAAAACCAAGAGAGGCCAGTACAACCTACTAGAGAGCAATAGAAACTTATAGAGACTCATTGAAGCATTCTAATGGAACTTGATAGATCTTCCCTTAGGGCACACTTTTCTCTGAAAACAGCTATAGTTAGGTCACCTCTTTTTCACTCCCTACTAGAAACAGCAGCACCTCAGTTGGGCTGAATCTTCTTCAGATCCAGATGGGAAAATAGAAATCAACACACATCAGTAGCTCTTTCTTTTTTTTTCTTGCTCAGACAGAGCAGAGACTGAAATGACAATGCTGTTATAAGCTACATTCCAAAAAAGATTAGCACAAATGGAAGTCCATTCACAGTGGAGCAAAAGGCAATGTGCTGATGCAATAGAGGTTTTTTACTCTATATCGCTATATGTTAAATTTCAACTAACTCAGGACATTAGAAATGTGTTCTGCACTATGGGGTTGAAACTTTCCTGAACAGGCCACAACAAGACAAGAATTGAGAAGATCTCAGAGACTATTTTAAATGTCAGTCGATCAATGATATTTTGCTTTCTGTCTTTGAAGAGACATTTAAAAGAACCTAAGGTCCATAGGCGACTGGTACCGGGGTACACAGGGGTGCACATGCCCCCCACCCCATGACGGGGCCGGTGCCCCCCCAAAGGCCGACACTGATGCTGTCGGTAGGGCTGGTGCCCGCCCTGACAGGGCCTCCACCATCGGTAGCTTTTGCAGGTGCCCCCCCCAGATTCAGGAGGCACCAGTCACTCATGCTAAGGTCCTTGGCCCAAATCCTAAGAAGACTTTAAGTACCCAGGTCTTATTGAAATCAGCTGTGGGCAGATCCCGTATTTTGTAAAGGGAGGGTGAGGGAGAAGTGACCAGTGATTCAGGGGTGGTTCCACCCCCACGTGCAGCTTCTCCCCAATTCTCCCTTGGGATGGGCAGACCATGCTGTAGGAGCAGCAGTCACAGACTTTTTTTTAAGTCCCTGAATCAATTAAGAAACTTGAGACACCCTCCCTTCCTCTCCAAGCTCAGCAGCAAGTTCCCTTGCCTTCCATTCACCCCCTTCCCTACCTGCCCTGCTGCTGTGCAATGCAATGCTGCCAGGGGCAGTGACAGAAGGGCTAGCAGGCAGGTTCCCCCTCCCTGATCCTCCTGCTGGGCTGGTAGGTAACATCTGAGGATATTGGCGAGAGAAGACAAACCTGACTGGTGCTGCCCCTGCTATTCCCTCGAGCTGAGCACAGCTCCTCATGCAGCCTGGCTGAAGCTTGGCAGAACAGCACTTGAGCTCCTCTTTCCCCCACAGCAGCTGGGGACAGCATCAGGAGTGGGTGGGGTGGGGGGAGCAGGGGAGGGAATGTACCATTGAGCACTGAGGGGAAGGGAGGGGGAGAATTTTCATTTGATTTGAGGACTTAAGGTCCCTGGTGTAGTGATCACTGGGTTCAAAAAATCACAGGTGTGCATGGATGAGAACTATTAAAAAGCAAGTTTTATTTGTGGAGGAGTAAGGAAGCTTCTGCAGTCCTTCAGCCTCTCTAGCTAACTGACTTGAGGGACTATTTTCCAACTCCCACAGTCTTCCACATAAGGGAGGGTCACTACACCTGGCTGCTGCTCCCATGTTCTGGTATAAAAGGAGTGTGTAACTATGCCACTGCACCTTCTCTGGATCTACCCCTGAAACCAGTGGAAAGAAGTTGCTGTACTTTAAGAGGAGGCAGGCTGTCTGAGAAGCAGTCAGCAGGTGTGGCAGGGCCAATTAGAGAGTTAGCTGACCAGAAGGGGTCTGAGTTTGAAGCACATAAGCCTGGAGCCTGAGCTGGTCAAGTAGTTTAGCCCTGAGAGCCACAGACAGAGTTAATCCTGGGTAGCAGGGCTTTGTCAGGGCTCCTGGGTAACATCTGAGCTGGAGTAGGCAATTCTGGAGGTTTGAAGAAGGCACTAAGGGGAGGAGGAGAACCCAACAGGCCTGGGAGTAAAGAGACCTGGGAACATGGAATAGAGGGCCTGGGGCACAGAGGGAGGGAACTTGAGTCTGGGAGGGGCTGAGTAGGCAGGGCCAGGGACCTGTAGCCTGGCAGTGGCAGAGTTGGAAATGTTGAC